GGACAGTTTCAAGGAGAGGATGAGTCCTGGAGGTTGACTAGCAACTAGCCATACAAGTAGTAGAAGGTAGAACAGCAGGCTTAAGGGTTTGGAGACAAAATAAATGTAAATTCTGAGAAATTTAAGTGTTCAAGCATGATTGGGTCATGTGTGTGTGTGCGCATGTGCATGCATGGGAGCATAAACCATGGTATTGGAGGTTAATGGTAAGATATGAGGTTGGGAAGAAAAGCAGGGGCCAGACAATGAAGGGGTTTTCTGATTCCTGCAATAAGGAGACTGAACTTCATCCTGATTGGAATTAAAGACTTCTGGAGTTTTGTTTTTTTTAAAAAAAAAACAAAAACATGGCAAAGGGTGAGGTGACAGTCCTTATTTCATTTCCACTTCAGAAAGGTCTTTGACTACTGGATAGATAATTGATTGCAGGGGCAGTTGAGAAGTGGAATTAGTCCAATTTGAGGTACCTGTGTGATTTCCAAATGAATAAAAGATGATGGTTGCAAGGCCTAAACTAAGGTTTCAGTAGTAGAGATGGAGAGAAGTGAATGGATTCATGATTTATTTGGAAGCAGATCTGATAGGACTTCATAATGATTATATATCAAGGAAAGGTGAGGAAACAAGGGTGACTGGCTTGGATTATTTGATGGCTGATGACTCCATTGAGATAGGAACTGAGATAGGAAATACTCTATGAGGAATAGTTTGAGGGTATGGAGAGAAACGGGCAAATGATTTCAGATTTGCAGAAGTTGAATCTGAGGTACTGTTAACACATTCAGGTGGGGCCATTCCAAATGCAGTTGACAACACAAACAAAGAACTCAAGAGAGAGATCTAGGGCTGGGGTTGTAGCTCAGTGGGAGAATGCTTGGCTAGCACATGTGAGGCACTGGGTTTGATGCTCAGCATCACATAAAAATAAATAAAATAAAGGTATTGTGTCCATCAACAACTGATAAAAAAGAAATAGTGTAACTACAGAAACTACAACCTAGAGAGAGAGAGAGAGAGAGAGAGATGGTAGTTAGTCATTGGCACAGAGAGAGAGAGAGTAAATGAGATCACCCATGGAGAATGTGAAGAATAAAACAGACCATAGGAAATCTAGGGGAATAGTTAGATTTAAATAGTGGGCAATGGAAGAGGAATTTTTTGTTGTACTTGGGATTGAATCCAGGCCCTCATGCATGACAGTCAAGTGTTCTACCACTGAGTACATCCCCAGCCACAAAGAAGAACTTATGAAGAAGACATAGGAGAATCTTTCTTCCTCTTCTCCATACTAGAGATCAAACCTAGGAGTGATTTACCATGGAGCTGTATCCTCAGCCTTTTTATTTATTTATGTTTTTGTTTGTTTGTTTTGAGACAGAGTCTCACTAAATTGCCCAGGTTGGCCTCAAACTTGGAAGACTCCCACTTTGGCCTCTTCAGTAGCCAGGATATAGGTATTTACTACTATGCCTAGAAGAATCATTTTGATGGGTGGGGAGATCTGGGAATGGTGCTATAGACGACAAGGGAGAAGGCATTTTATGAAGGAGAGGGAGAAGAAAAGATGATAGACAGAACCATTGGATGTTGGAACAAGGAAGTAATTGATAACCTTGGTGAGAACATAGTCAGTGGATGACTAATGGCAAAAAATCAGACTGCAGAGAACTGAGAAGTGATTGGGAGGGTGAAGAAGTAGGGACATCGGTATTAAATGGCTTGTTCAGGGATCTGGACTGCAAAGAGATTGATCAAGAAAGAAGGTAATAAGCTTCACGGTGAGAAGGCAGAGTAGGGAGCTTTAAAAAGAGTGGTAAATATGTGAAGTAGAATGCATACCAGGGAAAATTAGGACCACCAAGCAGCACTGAAAGCCTCACTGTTATGCTCATCATGATTGGGATAAATGCAACTCAATGCAAGTTAACAATAACCATGCCAGAGCACTGGGGATATAGTTCAGTGGTAGAGTACTTGTCCAGCAAGTACAAGGTCCTGGGTTCAATCCCCAGTACAACAAAACAAAACAAAAATCACTAATGTCTTCAAGAAAATAAGTGCCAGGAAAGAAATTGCTCAGTATCACAACCGAAAGTGACAAAGTTCATCAAATTATTGGTTCCTGTTCTGCACTGCTTTGTATCAACACTGGCAACATAATATTGGACACTGATGAATTGTATTGACTATCAACTATGTGGCCAATGCTGTAGAGGCACAAGAGAAGTTTTTTTTCACCCTCAAATTGTTTATAATTTAATTGAAAAGATAAGATATTCAACAAATGAGTCTGCACATATACATACATTCATGCATATGTATATAGGTGTGTGTGCATGTGTATATGAAACTGTTTTTTGCCCGTTTCCCCATCTCCCCCTATTGTATTTACTCCTTTCTTCCTTTGATATCCTTCATCTCAATCTTTTTTTCCCAACATTGGGGAGCACTTTGTAACCATTATAGTTCAATGTCATTGACTCATTTTGAAAATCTGTCTTTTATAGTCATATGGACCTTCTCATACCTCTTTACCACTCTTATTCTTTCATTAAGAAGATATTTTTGGGCCTGGGCTTGTAGCTTAGTGGTAGAGCACTTGCCTAGCATGCATGAGGTGGTGGATTTGATTCTCAGCACCACATATAACTAAATAAATAAAATAAAGGTCTATCAACAACTAAAACAAATTTAAAAAGAAGATATTTTTGAACATCTGCATTAAGTTAAGCACTGTGTAAGATATATGAGATAGAGATACATCAAATGTAGTCTCTGCTGTCAAGTTGCTTGCAGAATAGCAAAGAGAATAAGAGTTTAAATACGAAATTACAATATAGTGTGCAAAGTACTATCCTTATTTTGGTTTCCTCAGTAGGTATTATTGGTACCTATCACAAAAAGATTGTGATGATTAAGTGAGCTAACACATGTAAAATGTTTATTAATCATTACATGAGAAACACTAAAGTATTATTATTATTGCTATGAGGATGGTGATAATTGAAGTAAAGAAATACAGGATAATATAAGAATATAGAGAAGGAGTACTTGACTAAGCGTAGAATAAGAGACATCTGAGCTAATTCCTAAAGGATGAGAAAGTACTAAACAGAGAAGGAAAATGCATGACATTCTATATACAACAGCCTGTACTAAAACTTTTAAGCTAAAGATCATTTGACATGATTGAGGAGCTGAGAAAAATTTAGTTTAACAAGGTAATGGCAAGAGGTGAAGTTTGGGAGGTCATGGAGTACAAATGACTTTGGACTTCATCTTTTAACCAGTAGGGAGCCATTGGAATGTCTTATATGGAGTAGTGACTTGATCATATTAATGTGTTGAAAGATCACCTTGGCAACAATGTGGGGAATGAATTGGAAGAGGCAAGATTGTAAGTAAGACCAGTTAGGAAGCTGTTGCTTCCAGGTGAGATAGAATGATGAAACCCTATACTAGGAAGTAGCAGTGAAAATGAAAATAAAGGTGGTGGGGGGAGTCATGGATTCAAGAGATATTCAAGAGATAGAATTGGTGGACATAGTAACTATTAGATGCAGAGGATAAGAATAAGAAAGGTATCAAGGATCACTTCTAGGATTTTGTTCTGGTATAAGGAGATGGACAGAGGTATTATTCAATGACCACAGGAGATCCAGAGAACTGTTTGAAGAAACATGTAACAGGGGAGGTAATGCGTTTTCTTTTGGACATGCCAGATTTGAGGTGCCTATGAAATTCTCCTGTGGAAATTTTGAATAGAGGATTCCTCTGCCAGTTTTGCAGGTCAAGAGTGCCTGTATTAGAAAATCAGATTTGGGAGTCCCAATGGATAGGTAATAGATTGTCATAGGGGTAGATGTGTTTGCTCAGTGGTAGAATGTTGACTGAGAAAAGAATGAACTTTGCAGAAATACACTTAAGAAATGAGTAGGGAAGGAGAAAATTTGAAGAAGGCTAAAATGGAACAGCCAGATTGTAGTGAGTTGAAGAATTAGTGCGCTGAAGGGTCTTGTAGAGGATGGAAAAAGATGTACCCTTCATCCTTAGTGTCCTGAACCTTGGAAAAAGTGGGGACTCCCTGAACACTGCAAAATCCTGTGCAGCTCTGAGGGTCCAAAGGATTGGTTCAGATGCCTGCCTCTTATAAAGCCCTCTATTTTAAAGCAGCTTCCCTTTCCTCTATCCTATAGCCCCTAACAGATAGTTCAGGGAACTTTAGGGATCCACCTAGGATCTGGAACAATCTTTCTCTAGAGTCCTCCCACATCATCTGAGAGACTGATGATGGGGGCATCTAATAGGAGAACAGATAGGATATATCTGGTGTGTTATACTTGCAGGGGCTTAAGGCCAGCCTCACAGAGAGGACTTTGGGAAAAGCTGGGAAGACCTGAACTCTCAGAGTATAGGCGAAAGCTCTGTTTCCTGTCCCAATCTGCCCTGGAGTAGATTTTTGCTGTGGACAGGATGATTCAAGCCACTACTCTCTAAGTCTTTAGAGATTCAAGCAACCTCTAACAAGCTGGAGTCCAAGGCTACATTTCTAGGACCTCTTCGTCCTGATCCAGTCCCCTGGAATTTGGCCTCATTCTGCAATTGTGGGGCCCTTTGGCACTGTTGCTTGGCAATGCATTAAACAGCAGTCCTTGGAGACTAGCAGTGGAGTTAATGCAACCACCATAACCGCCACTGCCATCACTACCTTCTCGGAAATAGCCACCTGTCTGGCCCCTGCCTTTGTCCAACTGCCAACCTAAGGCATGCGCCTACGCAGGAGATGATGACATTTTGGCTCCAGTTTCAAAGTTTTTTTTTTTTCCTTTCTCATGTGTTATTTCTAAAGATAACAAAGGTCAAAAGGCATTCAGCATTTTCTGGTTTCTCATAAGCTTCTGGTCAATATTTAATCTGGTTTATGGATTTTTTTTTAGGTTTTCTAGATGCCTTCTTGAGCCTGCTTGTGGCCGCCCACAGACACTTGTAAGGAGGAGAGAAGTCAGCCTGAGAGAGACACCTTGAAATGAAGGATTAGAGGCCAGGATTCAAGGATCGAGTTCTGCAGCCAGAAGACGAAGGAATAGGCCCTGAAGACATTTCTGCTGAGAGGTCTACCATGGCCTCTCTTAGCGTCCAACTTGTGGGCTACGTCCTAGGCCTTCTGGGGCTGCTGGGCACATTGATTGCCATGCTGCTTCCTAGCTGGCGTACAAGTTCTTATGTTGGTGCCAGCATTGTGACAGCAGTCGGCTTCTCCAAGGGTCTCTGGATGGAGTGTGCCACACACAGCACAGGCATTACCCAGTGTGACATCTACAGCACTCTTCTAGGCCTGCCTGCTGACATCCAGGCTGCCCAGGCCATGATGGTGACATCTAGTGCAATCTCTTCACTGGCCTGCATTATCTCTGTGGTGGGCATGAGATGCACAGTCTTCTGCCAGGAATCCCGAGCTAAAGACAGAGTGGCAGTAGTGGGTGGAGTCTTCTTCATTCTTGGAGGCCTCCTGGGCTTCATCCCTGTTGCCTGGAATCTTCATGGGATCCTGCGGGACTTCTACTCACCACTGGTGCCTGACAGCATGAAATTTGAGATTGGAGAGGCCCTTTACTTGGGCATTATTTCCTCCCTGTTCTCCCTGATAGCTGGAATCATCCTCTGCTTTTCCTGCTCATCCCAGGGAAATCATGCCAACTACTATGATGGCTACCAGGCCCAGCCTCTTGCCACAAGGAGCTCTCCAAGGCCTAATCAACCACCCAAAGCCAAGAGTGAGTTCAACTCCTACAGCCTGACAGGGTATGTCTGAAGAACCTGGGGCCAGGGGGTGGCTGGGTCTGTGAAACCAGGGGACAGTGCCCCCAGGGGCACAGGAGAGGGACATTGCCACTGGATCATGTCAGAAGGTGCTGCTGAGGATAGACTGACTTTGGCTATTGGATGGAGCAAAAGGCAGACATGGGAGCTGGTATGGCAGCATGTAGGCTGAATTGCCAAGTATACTCGCCAAGCCATCCCATATCCTTCACCTTTCCCCCCACCCCAAGTACTCAACCTCAAACTCCAAATCCCACTCCCTACCTTTGACCAGGCCCCAGAGGCTCCTTCCTACATTTTGGTTTACGTGGAAATCCATCCCAAAACCTACTAATCACATCCCACTGACTGACCCTCTCTGTGATCAAAGATGTCTCTCTGGCTGGCTTTTAGCTCATTGCTGGGGGATAGAGAGAAGAAGGAATGGTGGCTTATATGGGCATCGCTCTAACCTCTTTCTCAAACCTCCTTCCAAAGAAACTGATTGGTCAGCAATGAGCCCTGGAGCCTCCAACCCACTCTTGTTATGACTCCAGAGTGTCCAGGCTGGTTTGTGCATGAACTGAAAGAAGGCCACCTTATGGTGTCCAGGGAATGGAAAGCAACTAGGTTCAGGATGGGAGGAAAGGAAAGCAGCCTGGAACCAAAAGCCAGAACCATTTTCCCAGGGCACTTCCCAGAATTCCTTCACATATGTGTGTTAAGGATCAAGCCCATAGCTAGAGGGAAGGACAAGGAAAAAAGATATGGTGGAAAGTTCAAGGCAGCTGCTAACTCTGACTCCACTGAGGAACTGCTTCAGAAACTGCAGTTTCAACTTTCACCAAAGACTCTGCCTCCCTCTGGGGCACCTGACCTGGCTTCCTGTCTAAACCACAAGGCTAAGGGCCATAGACAATGGTTTCCTGAGGAACAATAAACCAGTTTTTCAAGAACTGGTCCTTGGCCGGGAGATGACAACAGGAAAGCTGTGGGAGACTGAGCAAGATACTACTTCTTGACCCTGGTCAAAAAAGAATAAGAATTTTGGTATCTAAGAAATTGGTTGGACATGTGTGGTAACTCCACTGGGTATTTCTACTGTGCCAAAAAGAGGCAGCCTCCCAGAAAGTCTTCAGACCTAACGGAAAATCAGCCCCAAAGGGCTGAGACCAGCCCCCTGCATGGGGTCTGCTCACAGAGCACTATAGAGCCTCTGAAAGAACCCAACACCAGTTGGGTCCTTTGTCACCCTTCCTATCCTCCTCACCACCCATCAGAAGATAATCCCAAAGGAACTCAAACGCTGTGGTGTGGAACATACATGCCCAAGGTGTTGTGACCATGATCTGAATGAGAACTGAGCTGCTGCCTGGGATTGCATTTGAGGCACAAGTGTAGAAAATGGTTCCCAGGCAGACAGTTCCACATCCAAGGTCTGAGAATGCTCCAATTCTCCTGGAATTGGAGTTGGTGGGGGGTCATAAACTGGAGACATTTTTCCTCACCAGTTTGCTATGACCACCTTTGGAAGAAATCCAGTACACCTCCCCAAATCTCAGTGCCAGCAAAAGGAGCCCATTAATGGTCTGTAACATGCTTTCATGTTTCCACCTTCTTACTATGTTCAAGTTGTTCACTGACCTGGAAGCCCTCTTCTGATAGCCAAGTCCTCCCCATGCTTGGAGAACTTGCTCAGCACCACCTCTTTCATTGAGCCTTCTCTGACCACTCCATCCCTCTCTTTCCCCTCCTTCTTTCAACCCCCAATGTACAAATTGCTTCTTGATGCTCATCATTCACAATTTCTGGTTGTTAGTTTTGTGTGTGTGTGTGTGTGTGTTTATGTGTGTGTGTATCTGATCTCAAAAGCACATTGTAAACACTTGGAGCTCTATCTTAGACCTCTTTGTATACCCCAGACTATGTGTAACAGTGCTGGGCACACAATAGGTGATCAATAAACACGTTTTGATTGAGTAACTGTTTTATTGATTAAAAGGGATCCAAACTGGGTACATGTGACTAGAAGAAATTGGGGCAAGGAGTGGGGAGGGTGGAAGCTGGACTTTGTCCCTGAGGTTATATAGAAAATTCCATATTTTTACTGGAAATAACTAGAAAACATGACAATGCCCCTCACCAAGGAAACTAACCATCTTGGCCAGAGCTGCTGCCTTTTTGGAACAGTTATTTCATTTAAGTTATCTACTAAATGGCTATGTGCTTATTCCTTTCATTCTTTTTTAAAATATTTATTTAGTTTTTGATGGACTTTTATCTTATTCATTTATTTATATGCAGTGCTGAGAATCGAACCCAGTGTGTCACACATGTGAGACACGCACTCTACCATTGAGCCATAACCCCAGCCCCTTCCTTTCATTCTTGTAACCACCATTATGAAGAGGATGAAATAGATCTCACAATCTCCATTTGGCAGAGGGGAAAAATAAGGCTGATACAGGTATAAAAATTTTCCCAGGTCCACACAGCTGGGGTTAGTGCCTCAGTCTCCTAATTCCCAAAATAAGACCCTGCTGATCTAACAGTATTCAGAGCCAATAGAAAGAGCCTAACAACTGTCTCCAAGGAGCCTGAAGAAAATAACTTAAAGCTAGCAAGGTAACAGTGGGGGTATGAATGCTCTCTTAGTCTCCCATGAGGGTGATCTTGAAAAGCAGGACTTCATCAGATATGAAAATTCCACCTCCTGCCATGCTGGCCAACTGGCCAAGCTGGGCTCAACTAATTGTCCCATCAAGGAAATGCCAGGTTTATGTTTCAATAAGACACAGCATCTCAGTTCCAATTACCCTAAATATGGGAAGTATGGGAATCTAGGAGGCCATTCAGCCTCTTTGGGAATTAACCAAGCCTAATTCATAAGGGTGTTGTTAACTAGGACAACACTGATAATAATGGGGCCCTTGAGATTTAGCTTAACTAGACCCTGAATCTAGGGGTCCTCAGCTCATAGGAGCCTATTATGGCACTACCCTTGCACTTCTTAAGTGGGCCTTTTTGTTGCAAAGGCTAGAACCACAACATTCAAGCCTATTTAGAGGGAATGGCAGCAGGTGGGAATACGGGGAGAGGGAGAGATCTTTGGAGAAAAGCCTAAGAAGTCATGTTTTTGGTCTGGCACCAGGAATCCCAAAGTACATGATTAGGGTTCATAAGAGGTTGAAAGAAGGGGTTGCCTTACTGATTCTGCTGAGCTGTGTGGGCAGCAGTCTGGTAAGGGGCTCTAATGACCCTTCACTGGCAACCAAAGCACCTTCAGAGCTACCAACTTCACTGCATCCTTCAAATACCTCAGCAAAGTAGATCTCTCACAGGAGACAAAATGGAGGTCTAGAGAGTGAATAAAATCCCTCAAGCTACAGAATGGTGTTAGTTCCCCATCTGTATATAACCTTGGAAACTCCTTCCATGGCATTAGGATCTGAGATTCCAGTCTCAGAAGGTGTTTGAGGGCCTTTTGCTCTTCAAATTCTTGCAGGTTCTCAGTACCTGTCCACTTCTGGAATAGAAGGGTTTGTGAGGGAAAAAGGACATAGAGCTTCCCTTTGTCTTAGTGTGGGGTTCCTGTGACCTTTCTTAATCTGGGAAATTTCAATAGAAGAAAATAGAATTTCATCATCAACTAGAAAAACCAGGGAAGACCTGACAGAGCCACTGATCCCCTTGGCTGGTTGAATAAGAAAAGCCTTGCTCTAAATAGTTTCCTAGAAATCTTCCCAAGTCTGGGCCCAAGTTGACCATCTATAAGCTAACACCATTACCTTCCATCATAAAGTAATTTAGATAAACCATAGACCTAGGGGGATAGTGAAGGTCATTGTGTTTATTTCCCTACCTCATGGCTCAACCCTTGCACAAGGACAGATGTTTCTGCCTTCCATTCCTCTGATAATAGTGTGACTCATTTTTTCTCTCCCTTGGGGCCCTAGTGACCCACAGCTACGTGATCATTAATGGAGCTGGGGAGACTGAAACTGGATTCCTAGTGGAAAGGCAAGCTCCAACTTTTTGAGAGACCTTCGGCCAGTCAAATAGCCACTCAGTCAGCCCTTTAGCCAGACAGTCAGCCAGCCCACACAAACTGAACTCTTCCTTTGTGTTAGGCAATGTGCTAAGAGCTGTGAGGGTGATAAATGATGTAAATTCTGCCTTGTGTACATGTACAAACATATAACAAAAATCTCACCATTATGTATAATTATAGTGCACCAATACATAATATGGTAAAAAAAAAAAAGTCTGCCTTAGAGGATTTGACAGCTTATCTAGGGGAGAAAAGTCATGCACATCTGACTACTAAAGGCAGAATTAACATACCAATCTGATTTTTGTTGGGGTGTGTGTGTATTTTGTGGTGTTGGAGATTGAACCCAGGGCCTCAAGCATGCTAGGCAAGTGTTGTACCACTGAGTTACATCCCCAGTCCTACAAGGCTGGATATAGATGCTCTTAGGAGAGATAGGAACAAAGTGATTCAAAATAGAGGTGTCAGGGGCTAAGAAAAATATTTACGTATGTTTCCTTAAATTCCAATCCATATGAAATGAGTGTCTGGCATTAATTGAACTTTCGGGGGAAGGCTGATTAGAAGAAACTGCTTCCTGCAGCTGAAGAACTATGGGAAATTGACAAATAGCGTGAATAGGAGTGCTAAGGAGCTAACAGGGATATATCACACAAATAAGCTGTTAATTGCCCTTTTGGAGTTATAAGACCCCTAAAGGACTTTAAGAAAGGGAGTGATTCTGAGGCTCAGCTTCACCTTCCTCATATCCTTTCCTTGGGACGTTTTGTGAAAATTGGTGGGGCAGCAGAAGCAGTGCCCAACCAAGTAGCTTGGAGCCTTTTGGCTCTGAACCAGAGGAGAAACATGGGTATAGGAGAAGGAGGAGAGGAGAGAGTAGGGGCCCAGTGCTAAAGGCAGGCTAACGAGGTCTAACAGGGTCAAATGTTCCCTCCCACTCAGCCCTGGGCCTATGCACAGGGGAGTCTTTCATGCCTGTAGCTGCCCACTCCAGGACACAGAGGCCCCAGGCTGGGAAGTGCATGTGCTCCTCCTCAGGTGGCTGAAGCCTGGCCTTGGCCCAGCCTGATCTCCCTGCCTAAGCGGCTACTGGCTTTGATGAGACATTCTGTTATCTCAACAGGGAAAGGAACCACAAACAGGAAGTCCAGCAGTTATCACTCTCTTCTTCCCTATGTTGAGGCTCACTATATGTGATATGATCAGTGATACAAGATTAACAAGCTGTTATCAGGTACAGTGATATAGAGACTGTAATCTGACCACCCACCTCCTACCCACAACCCACCACTTTCCTGGGAATTGTACTTAGGAATTCCTAGCTAACTCTCACCTATAATTTTATTCTATAGACTTCATTGCTCCAGAAGACAAGCAACAGTGTCTTAGGGCTTAACAAAACTGGAGGCCAACATGTAAGGGCACATCATCAGGTCCCTTTTAGGAGAAAGCTACTGATTTCCTGTCATTCCTTAAGTCTCATTCCTCCAAAAAGACACCCATTTCACAAGTCATGTCCTAGGAGGGCTTTGAAAACTTTCAGTTTGCAAACACTCATGACTGTGTGGAGATAACACTGAGAATACTCACATGCTTTAAAAAAGATAATAAGGA